CGCAGCCGGCCCTCCTCTTGGCGGAGGCGAGGCCGGAGAAGGCTCCTCGCTGCGGCTTCCGGAAGCGGAAGGACACGGTGGTCCACCAGAGAGCGTTCATGGGAGAGAAACCCTACATCTGCGTCGAGTGCGGGCAGAGCTTCAACCGCAGCTCGGACCTCATCCGCCACCAGAGGATCCACACGGGGGAGAAGCCGTACGTGTGCGCCGACTGTGGGAAGAGCTTCAGCCGCCGCTCCCCCCTCATGTCCACACGGGCGAGCGGCCCTACCAGTGCGAGGACTGCGGGAAGAGTTTCAGCCAGAGCACCCACTTGGTGCAGCACCAGCGCAACCACACCGGTGAGAGGCCTTATGTGTGCGCCAAGTGCGGGAGGAACTTCTATCAGAACTCAGGCCTGCTCCGCCACGCCAACTTCCACACGGGCGAGAAGCCCTACAAGTGCCCCCAGTGTGGGAAGCGCTTCAGTGACAGCTCCAACCTCATCGCCCACCAGCGGCTCCACACCGGGGAGAAGCCCTACAAGTGCGCTGACTGCAACAAGAGTTTCAGTGAGAGCTCCAAGCTGGTCATCCACCGGCGCGTCCACACCGGCGAGAAGCCTTACTTGTGCCCCGACTGTGGGAAGAGTTTCAGCCAGCGCTCGCACCTTGTCCAGCACCGTCGCACCCACACTGGGGAGAAGCCCTACAAGTGTGCTGAGTGTGGGACCTGCTTCAGTGACAATTCTACCCTCATCCGTCACCGTCGCACCCACACGGGGGAGAAACCTTTCAAGTGTTCCCAGTGTGGGAAGAGCTTCAGCCGCAACTCCTACTTAGTCTCACACCAGCGAGTGCATGTGTGGTAGGCAGTCTCACTAGATGTGGACTGTGGATCATCTAGGATGCAGCTCCTGATCCAGGCCTGTTCGAAATATGCCTAAGGGAGGAGAAGTGTAGATGCGGGTATGTCTACACCAAGGGTACCAGGCTCAGGGCGCCTGGATTGTTGTAGGCAGCCGGCCAGAGCAATGCCTCTGGCCTATGTTGCCACTTTTGGCCACCTCTTTCTCCCAAAGCACGTCAGGCATAGGCAGCAGATGGGCAGTAGTTCTGGATCCCCAGGTCCTGCCATCCTTTCTCCCAAGTGGTCGACCTGCATTCCATCTACCACATGGCCAATGTGCAGGCATTTCCCTCCACCTTCCCCTGACAAGTGCCTGTTTGGGAGCCTGAGGAGAAAATGTGCAATACGATGAGAAGCTGCTTGCTTGTGCCATCCTGTGACCAATGTTAGGCAAGATGCCTATGTCTTGGTCATGCAATGTATGCATGTGTGGCCATGTCAGCGGAAATAGAATGGGAGATGGGGGTGCTTGAATGTCTCCTTAAGGAGCTTTGTCCTGAAATGTTGCGGCCTGTACAATATTGTATAGGTTTATGGAAGCTCACCATGCCCATGTTGTGATCCAGCTATGGTGGTCAGGATGACTGAAGCTAAATAAGCCCTGCTGAGGGGCTGGTGATTGCATCATGCACGTGCAGTGTGCAGGCCAACTTGGAGCACAGGCCAAGTTCAACTTGAGTCTGCTTGCAAAAGGAAAGTGTAGACATACCCTGAACCAGAGGAGGAAGGAATGCATTCAAAGGGTTACTGCGAATGCTGCTAGGATAGTAGGAACGGCGAGGGGGAGCTGTGTGACAGGGACAAGGCTTTCTGGAAATCTCAGAACTGGTGGGTAACTGATACAGCAAACTGCCTAACCTGGAGGTTTAAAAACAAGAATCAGAATTACGCTTGCTGCTGTTAAGGCTGTGGTACGCAATTTGACAGGAATGCGCAGTTTGCCCGTAAGTTTGTGCTGGTGTGGCCTCCTGGTTCTGCAGAATTCAGATTCACACATACGGCCCAGGTGGGCTGGTATAAGCAGTGTTGTAAAATGGGACAGAACAACAGCATATTGGGACTGACTTGATTCCATACCAGTATTTCTGAAGTCCCGTTTTGACCAGCTTATGTGTGTGTAAATAACATCTATATGTTTGTATTCACATATGTATGAACTTGCTTTTATGGTAGTGTATCTTCACACTCAACATGTGAGCATTCACACACGCACAAGTCCTTGCAGTGGTCAAAAGGGCCAACTGTATGACACTATACCATATCAGTACTTTTGAAAACATTAAACATACCATATATAGTAGCACTTCTGCAAGTAATGAGCTGCAAGAGATATGTTTGTATCAAAACATCTAAAATTTCATATCAGGACATTTAGTTTTACTCCGATTACTTTGCGTGTGTATAGGATCTGGAATTGTTCTTATAAATGTGTACCCACACATGTATAAACACACACACAGAGAAAATTGTGGCACCTATGGTTGTAAAGAATGACTTCTAAATGGCACTCCGCACTCTCCACCTCATTTTACATAAGTGCATATCAACTGCAGTTGAAGGATGTACCCCATTCATTAGGGTTTAAACTACAAGGAATTGCAGTGCAACACTTCGAATTGTTTATATTTTTGACCGTTTTACTGCTGATTATTTTAGTGATACCTGACTGGTGTGCTTGTTCAACGTTGCTGGAGCTTAGAAAAGATTTCTGGTATGTGATGTACTGCAACTGGCTTCATGGCTTCAGTATGTCTTTGGAACAGAGCAATATATACTGAAGCCAGCAGAAGGACTGGGGCTGGGGTGGGGAAGAGACTAAGGAAATAAAGAGGCAAAGGAGATCCAGGGATTTGAGCAGCTGCTGGCCAGGGATGCTTGTGAATGGCTTGTTCTGCAGCTAGTTCTGCAGAACTCACTACTTTCCAAGGGACTGGCTTCCTTTCTGCAAGCCGCTTCTTGACACTCAACTGCTGATAAAAATATTATTTTCATATTTAAAAAAAAAAAAAGAACTTTAGAGGGAGCATGTTTGCAGCTCCTAGAGGAACAAGGCACCTTTGTGTGCAGCTGCTCAGGGAAGTAGAGAGAGCTTTCTGAAATGGGGTGGGCTTTGTTTGCACAGGAACCAAAGCCTTCATTTGGAAATGCACATTTTTATTTTTAGATTTTTTTTTGTTTGTTTCCCCTCCCCCTGACCCCACCCCCGGGGATGGCCTCAAAGCAGTGTCTTCTTGATTTCTAACTTTCTTCTGGAAAGTGTCTTGGAAATGTGACTAATGGTCATGTAGTTTGTTCCAAAAGCTTCAAGATTTTCATCTACTAGCAGACTTTCAAAAAGAATACTACAGTTCTCAGTTGGTAGACTCATTTTTAACTCATTTCAGAGTTCCAGCTATAGAACTGGACCTACTGAACCGACTATAGATTAATTTATATGGGCCTGTCCATTCCAGTTTACGTTTCCTAAAGGAAATCTACAGCACTACAAATGTCTGTTTGGCTGAGGAAGATCTACCAGCCAGGGAAAGTCATCTTGTGAATGCATCTTTTCTTTGGGGAGTCTGAATGGAAACACTGTAGCAGATAAAGGAAATCACAGCGGGGTGTGCACATGAGCATGAGCTCAAAAGGGAAATCCTCACATCAAGATTCTGGTTTGAGAAGCCCACTGCCCCTGAATACTCCTTCACAACAGTCTTCAGAGCATCTCTTTTCCTTCTATGTGCTTTGTGAAGTGCTGTGTACACTTAACAGTGCTCTATAAATTAAAACTATTGATGTGCATTTATTTCTAAGATCTTTATGAACTTATTTAAAACTGTATGCCAAATCAAAGTGGCCTTAGGGTTCACAGCACGTTGCCAGTGTGGTAGTCTTAGCTGCTAGGATTGGATTGCCCACCAGTGTAAGTACCATCTCTGGATTGCCTTTCCACAGCTAGTGTTAGTTTTCTCTGCTCAATGCCGCTTGGCTGAAATCATTCACTTTCCCCAGACAGTCTTCCCTTTCCTGTTTGTGACCATCTAGCTTGAGGATCTGGGTACCGCTCCTTCTTGACTGTTGAAAAAGTTATAGGGTATGTTCCTCTTCTTCCAGGAGTTTAATCACTTTGTGGGCAGCACAAAGTGACAAGCCAAATTCAGAAGATGGAGATATGGGCAGGTGCAAAAGGTCAAGAACCAAGATGGCGATATGGGCAGGTGCAAAAGGTCAAGAACCGGAGGGTTTACTTCCGCAGCAGCTAGCTCACTGGCTTCTTTTACTAGCTGTCTCCTCCCTCAGGATTGCAGAGGGAGGCTACTGGGGAAAAAACAAAAGGTAATAAGCTCTATCCTAGGCCCTTGGTCCCCAGCTGGTGCCCAGATCCTCCTGCCAGTTGAGGGAGTTCTGTAATTTCCTGTTGTGCTACTGGTGCTTAGATACTACAGTGACGCTATGGCACTTTGGAAATACCCAAGATAGATGGACAAATGGATGAATGATGTCTCTGAAATAAATCTTTTTATCCCAGTCTTCTTCGTTACTCCATCTCTTCTTCTCTTTTTTTCCCCAGAGTGCCCTGAGCTCCCAGTTTCTTGGCTCTTGGCAGGACCAGATCTGGAACACGGGTCATCCTTCATGGAGGGATGACCGTTACTTAGCACAGCTGATGTGTAATGCAAATAAGAATCCAGAGGTGAGGGCTATTCTTAGAATTTCTCTTCTATTTCATCTCTTGTATCCGTATGAATCTGAAAAGCTGGAGGATGGTACATACCGCTCACCATGCCTTCACAACAGAAAGTGGCAGAATCTTATTCTGGAGTAAAACACCAACCTGCTGTTAGACGAATCTTGTTCTAGCAGAGCTGCCAGCTGCTCTGAGATTACCTTCCCAGTTCTGTCACCTGGCTTGTATGAGATCCAGTTTTGCAGCCCCCCTGCTAACAAAGTCTGTAAAATAGCAATAGCTGAAATACAACTTCTTTTACGTTCCGTCTTGCTTCACTGTTTATGACTGGGGGGAAAAAATTCTTCTGGTCTCAAGCAAGAGGTTTATTTTCTGTGTTGAATATATTAAAAGATGTATTTAATGCACATTCCCTAAAGCAAATTTTTTAGATATCTCGAGCACACAAAACTGTCCCCGCAAGTACACCAGAGAATTTACTGTGGTCCTCTTTCCCTTCTGCCCTAAGTATACCGGTCTGAATAGGACCAGAGAGACAACAGCAGAAGCCCCCTCTCCAGAGAGAGAGAAGTACAAGATGTTTCAGATGATGGAGTGGAAGAGCTACAGAAAAGAGGCCTCGTTGGGGCAGTCTACTTTTCTGCTTATGCCCTCCTGTCCTAAGCTCTGAAGGGACTAGAATAGTTAAAAGTACCAGTTGCAACTGCTATAGCTAGCTCTGGCAGTTTTTTTAGGTGTGGATACATCACTATAACTTTACCTAGGGTCTTACAGTCTTTTAACTCCCAGAATTCAAATTTTCTACAGCAGAGTGCCCCCAGGAGATGTTAGTAAGGTGGGCCTCTGTTCATGCCTCAGAGCGACACTCATCTTGACCCATAAAAGCTGCTTTTTTCAGCTACAAGTCTCACGGTAGCAGTGCAAGCAGAGCATAAAACCTGAATTTAGCTGTAAAACTCACCTGAGAAAGGAACTGTTTTAAATCTAATCTATGCTGATCTTTGTGTTGCCATAGTAACATTAGCATGAGCTGCAGTCACTGTAGTGTAGGTGAGTCCTTTTGCATTTCTCTGTGTTTTAGCCTTTCTCCAACCTGAACTTCGTGTATCATTTAAGTCAGCTGATCCACCTCTCAGTTGTCCCCTCCCTTTTCTCATGCAAGTGCTTGCTGGCTTTTTTTTTAATAGCAAATGCATGCAGCTCATGTTGAATCCACCTGGTAACGCTGCTCTTGCAGTCCTGATGGGCTTTAGCAACTGACAGTTTTCCTCCCACAGACCTGACCAGTTTGTGAACAGACATGAGAGCCTAGGATCGAAGGAGAGTTTTTAGGGGAAGAAAATTTTCACTCTTTCTTCATGAGGCTTGATATGGAGGAAACAAAAACTTGGGATTAAGTTCAAAAGGAATAGTTTATGTGAAATATTTCCTACTGAAATGTAGATGCTGTTACTGTTACATTTAAATAATGTTTTTGTACAAAAAATATTTCAAGTGAAGTTCCCGGACTTCCTATCTTATAGCTCATTACAATTTCTATGTAACACAGGTCAACTTAACTGATCACGTCTTCTGTTCTGCTGTGTTAGCCATGCTATAATTAACATGCCTAACTTGTACATGTCTTACAAACATAACTTTTTCTATATGTATCCTGTAGTGTACTATGCCCCTCTAATTAAATACTGTTTCTCCCCTCTGCGGACAGAATCTGGACCAGTAGTGCCAACACTTGTTATCTGCAAAACGTTGATGGTTTCCTATTTTAGGCATACTAGTAGGCAAAATGAATGAATAAAAATGCCAGGTACGTACCTTAGGCTGAGGTCTGATGAGCACTGTAAGCTGACCTGATTTACAGCTGCTCCGTAAAAGGGCCTTCCTTTTTATTCCTGTCCCACCAGCCATGTGTTCCCATCTGCTCTGCATTGGCACTATTGCTGCTCTAGCAGCACAATAAACTGGCTCAGGAAACTGCCTAGTCAGTTTTCTGCTGGATCAGTTCCGTGATCTGGCTCATTGTAGGGCTACCTGAATGCTAGTTATCAGAAATACAAGAACCATCCCCTTTTGTAGCAATGCAACCATAAACTGACTTAAAGTGACTGTAAAAGTGCAGCCTGGAGACACGGGGCTGGTTCCTTAGGTCTCATAAGCACTCTATTTTCCTCTAGCAGGGCAAGACAGTCCTAAGCTTGCTCTAAGTGGTCAGCAGAAGATCCTGTAGCTGCAGATAACTGACTGCCTGAGGGACTGTTTTGGGGGACACATTAAGATGGGTGGGACAGCATGGGCAGAGCACAGTAACCCTTCAGCGGGAGCTGAAAGCACCAATAAGTTACAGCAGGTCATACCAGCTCCCTACATCCTCATGGGTTAAGAGAGCGCACAGATGTGCAGGCTCCCTTGTTCTCTTCCCTTAGGCACTCTCCGTGAAAGGCAGAGCTCAGCTGGATGTAAAGGTTAGGGCCACTTAAGACTTGTCTGAACAGCCATATGGACAGGAGTTCAGAATAGCTCTACCCAAGCTCCAAGGCCCTGCTTGCAAACCTTCTGTCTGGCTTGGCTGCATAGCTGTAGGCAATTGGCTAACGTAACCGTAACCTTCCTCTGAAAAAGTAAAGCTTGCAGAACTCATGTTTATGAGGCCTGACTATGTAAGGGGTTTCTGCTTGGAAACACAGCTGGCCTGACCCCTGAGAAAGCTTCCTCAGAAAAGGTTTCTCTGGTTATAGTGCAACTGTACAACCCTGTCCCACTGCCCTGACCAGTAGTGGTACTAATGGCACGGTATTAGGAATGGCAATGCAGCCAAAACAAAGGTGTCGCGAATCATTTTGCCATCTGAAAGCTGAAGGGTTGAACCAGATCGCTATACGAGGGAAACGGTAAACCGAAGAGGTTGAGCTGGGACAAACATCCAGGACAAAAGACTGGAGAGCTGGATTTTCCAATCGTGAGGCTGCTGGGAAGACAAGGTGTGCTGGAAGTGCTACATGTGAGAAGGGTCACCATCCTCCAGGCCCCCAAGGAATTGCTCCCTCACACATCTTGATCTCCCTTTTTTGGCTTTCCAGAGCTCCTGCCATTTTCCTACTGCTGGTGATATGTTGCTGTAGGCAGGTGCCTGCTATATCTGTCCCTCAAGCTGACCTTCACCAAAATCCTGCTGTACTCTATCTAGCCATAGTTCAGGTGGGTGCCGTTTCCCATCTCTAACCGTAGAGCCACAGTAGAGCCCATCCCTCTTCTGTCAACATTTTCCCTCACAAAAGGGCAGCTTCTCCTTACTCACCCCAAATCCAGCAAATATAACATGCATCTGCCTTTCTGAAGGGCATTTGATCTGCCTTTTCCTAGCCTTAAGACAACTTTGTTGCTAGGATAGGGCCTGGGGAGCTGCTTCTTGCTGCGCTGCACCTGGCTGTTCTGTTTAAGAAGATGCCTCTTTGCTAGGCCACAGCTTTCCCTTCTTGACTGGTTTCTTTAACAGCTGACCTTTGATTTCTCTCAGTGCCTTCAGGCAGCCAGAAATAGCAAACAAAACAGGAAAAAAAGAATTTGCTATGCATTAAAGAGATTACATTATCACTGGACATATGAGTACACCTTTATGTGACCCTAGGTCAAACAGGAAGGACAGGCTGCTTTATTTAAAAAAAAAAAAAGAGCTCTTTTAATAACTGTCACAAGAAGAGAAATAGCAACAGCAAGGGGAACGCTGTGGGCGGGGAGGGGTAGGAGGAAAAATAGAACATTTTTTCCTTGTGTCTAGAGTGATAAGGATTAAAATCACTGAACGCTCGTCCTCACATTCTTAGAAAGGTGAAGAAAGGGGGTAACATATGGATATCCTTGTTCTGGATCCTTAAAATCTGAGGAGCTACCTAGCATGCTAGGCAATGATGTTATGTCTTACGCCTAATCTGAGCGCAGAGGTTGCCATGAGCTTGTTCAGGATTTGGGTTAGGGCAGTCATATCTCACAGACACCTTGTCACTGCCCTTGTCTGGGTAATATGTGATGTAGCTGCCAATGTTAATATAACTGTGGGCTTCAACTGCACCTTCCATTCCAGAGCAGATAGAGCCACTAATGCATGGGAAGAAAGGGTGAATTCCTGTCTCCAGAGAGGTAGCCAGAGAGGATCCTGAAACTCCTCAGGCTCTGAAGCCCTTGGTGCTGCCCCTTCACTGCTATCAGTGCTCAGGCCAGCCAGCTCCTGGCAGGGCTATTCCTAGGGAGGGCCAAGTCATGAGGAGGAAGGCAGGAAAAGGAGATGGCTGATATTTGTAAATACTCATTCCAGGAGACATGAACTGAAGAGCAAAGCCAGAAGAAACCCAGTTATGGCTTGGAATGAAAGAGAGGATGAATAATTACAGACGATCCCCTCCCAGTGTAGGAGGAGGTGAAAAATCACATCACTGCTGTTGCTGTCCCATAGCGTAGTGTGGGTTGCACTGCAGTGGTGGTACTGATTTTCCAGGGCTGAGAAGAAGAGGTGGACTTCTGGAATACATCCACAAATTGGTACCTCACTCCTGCAACACTAAGCTGTTCATTTCATGCCTATGAAGAATCACTTGGTGTCCCTGTATCTGCAGTATCCTTCCAGCACTTAGAAATTATGGTAACTTTCTCCCCAACCTGCAGAATAAGCAACATAAATAAGCTGATTAGTTCATAGTATACTGCCATTCATTTTTGTCTCAAATCCATCATGTGAAGGACTGCCAAAGCAAAGCTTGTGTGAAGACACTCTGTGCTGGGGTCCATGCACAGTGAGGTTCGCTGTCGTGGCACTTATGACGTCAGGTGAAGGATTCCTACCTCCTTGTTCGCAGGGCTCCTTCAACTGGCTGCAAAATTCGTATTTCTTATGGAAAACGTTTATCTCCGAGGCCATTCTTGCATGACTTCCTGCAGTTGCTAACAGCTCTGGCTGATTTGTGACAGCAGATTACTTCGGATGGCTGAAGCTGCTGCCATCCCTGGCCACCCACTGGGTTATTTTTAACTTGGATTGGTTCCCTGAGCCAGCGCTCAGCGCAGTCCCACAAACAGCAGCACTGGCACCAGTGAGGGGAAAATAGTGTACTGCAGTGGGGGGAGGGTGCTAACAAACAGCCAAAGAGCACAGCAGTTCCTGAATATTACCACCGTGCCATCCATATCATGAAATCACTGCCCAAAATCACTGCCACTGAGCAAAAATAATCTAAGAGAAAGCAGAACAAAGGCATTAAACAGATCTGTCCTCAACACAGGAGAAATATTTCCAAAGAAGGAGGACCAGCTTATAAACCTTTTGTTTTCCAAATGTACACTACACAGCTGGAGCCAGCGCTGAGCTCTTGTTAAGTAGCTTGGAGGAGAGGAGCTGCCGGGTGTGAACTACCCTATTCATCCCATCGAGGTTGTGGTTCCACCTGCATTTCTTTCAAAAGCAGTATCAGTTCCAGCCTCCCTCATCTCCTCTTCCGTCCTGGCCATTTATTCCCATGCACTGCCTGTTGAGCCACTGTGGCTGCTTGTGCAGTTACCCTGTGAAGCAGCCTGGGGAGGTTCAGTGGCTGAAGAGTAACCGCTCCCACCCTACTTTGGGTTATTTTTAGCTGAATCAGTTCCTGATCCAATTCACTGTATGGTCATGCAAACAGCTGTGTCAGCATGACAGAGAGAAAATGTTGGAAGGGAGGGGAGCAAAGGCTTAAACTAGCTTAATCATCACTAGTCCCAAACGGGAAGCCGCAATCACGAACTATCACTTTACATGCCCAGCAGCAATTATTTAAACATCTCTACAGCCTCCTCTCTTTCGCCTTATATAAGAAAGAAGGCCTAGGGAACTTCACAGGGCTGTGCCACAAAGAGGAAATAGCATTGTGTCTATTTTTGGCTTCAAATTTATCAGTAAATCAAGGGAAGCTGAATGCAAGGAGCCTATCTGAGCCTGCTGCTATGAATAGCAGTTGGGGTTCCTAGCAGCTTGCCTACCTGCTTGTAGTTTTGCTAGTCTGCTTAAATGTCACATCCCACAGAGATCAAAATTTGCCATCTTAGTAGTTTGCTTGGTCTCAAGGCATAAGCAGTTCTCTAGATGTGTGCAAAATGTGTTTAGAAAATGCTCTCATGATGATCGGCTGGCTTTTTATTCCAACATGCAGCTTGCTTTGTGCTGCTGTGAACATGCGGCACAAGGAGTGAGGCAGTGGCACCGTCTCTGTTCACTGTCCTGCGAAGCAATACTGTTTGCGTGGGCTACAGCTCAGAGTAACTCTGACTGCTTCAGCCCCTCTTCCTGCTCCCTTCCTGGATCTAGCGCGCACTTGTGGATGGGGTAGACAAAGAAAAGTTCTGAGTTGTGGCGGTTTGGATTAGTCTTGTGTGCTGTTGCCCCTGACCTGAAGCTTATTTTCT